TTCCGATCATTTTTTTAGAAGCAAGAGATTATGATTATATATCATACAAAACTGTTACCCATCATTTTCTATTATTTAATGTGATTTATAAATTAATGTATTACATGAATAAATATAAAAAAAATGTATATATAAATGGGTTTATATGAGACCAAATATAGATAATGAACCAAATTTGATGATACTCAAAGCCAAACACATTCTAACAACACTAAAGATAATGTTAGAACTTGGATCATATGATATACATTTATACACCAGAAATACTGACACGAATCTCAAAAAGAACGAGCAATCGAAATAAAAGAGTTTCCCTTCGGAGTATGCAATCAACCACGATTCAATGCCGAGCATGAGGAACCATGTCTCTGAGCCTGGGATAGGTCCAAGCTTTTGAGATAGTTTCTAGCTCCATAGCTGCGAGATCCACCGAGAGTGTGGCATAAATCATCCTGGCAACGAGTTTCGTTAGATACATCGCGTAAGCATCGATAAGGTCCACCTAAGACCTTGCGAGATAGGAAGATCCAGGCGAGACACAAAGTTACCAGGCATGAGAGACAGGTCTTGTATGACTCAAGTTGAACTACATGTGAGCCACAGCTCACCCGACTGCAGTTGGGCGACCGAACTGTAAGATCTGCCTAAGACCATGCAAGATAGGACGATCCAGGCGAGACGACGAACTTACCAGACATAGGAGACACAGGTCATGTAAGACTCAAGTTGAACTACATATGATCCACAACTCACCCGACCGCAGTTGGCTGACCGACCTGGGGCAAGCGAGATTCCCATACGGCTGAGCACCTCGAAAGATTGACACACACTTCGGAAGGTATAGCCATCACTCGCCTGGTCGCCTCAATCGATTGAACTCATACAAGTCGGTCTGTTGATTACAACTATCTTAAAATTCAAATTGTAATACATAAATGGTACAAAATTCATATAATTAATTAGAGCATTAATCATATTAAGAACGGTTTTCATAGTCGTTCTCTCATTCCTATAATTGTACAAAATACGCTCTTATAAATAAGAGAAAAAATATGAATAATAGGGAACTCTCTACCCCAGCTCTCTCTCGACGGTAAATTCTGAACCCACTACACTCTTCTTTCTCTCTTTGACTCGACTCTAACCCTTGAAGTGTGCTCACAAAATACAATCTAGGAACAAACATCCTGAAAGGTGATGGGTGTGCGTGGACATGCTCCAGACGAGAAGCGAAGCTAATTACGAAGGAGAAACTTCTTGAGAGAGATAGCACACATGGAACCCTACAGAGGTGCTGCACAACCAGACATCCATGCACAAGCCCAAGGCTTACAAGCGCAAATGACCCTCATGATGAAGCAATTTGAGGTCTTCCATAAAGCAATCACACAAAGGAATAACCAGGTGCCTCGTCTGGAGGCAGAACCTTAAATATTTTGTCCCTAAAGGCCACCACCAGGGAACTCACTTATCCCACACAACCAGTTCAACAACCAACGGAAAGGACAAAGCAAGTCCCAACACACCAGCACAACCACGTCTGCACAGGTGAACAAACAATGGGAAGAGCAGATGCAAGTGCCTGTCTGGCCACTCGCAGGAGGGGCATATATAGGGCTGTAAACGAGCCAAGCTTGAGCAAGCCCAGGCCCGGCTCGTGTTCGGCTCGCTCGAATCTGACTCGTGTTCGAAATTGGCTTGTGTTCGAAATGGCTCGTGAACAGTGTGTTCGTGTTCGGCTCGAATTACATTTTCATGTTCGTGTTCGGCTCGTGTTCGGCTCGAAAATGGCTCGTTAGAATATAAAATTATTTAATAAATATTATTTTTTTAAAAAAAATAATAATTTTGTATAAAAAAATTTGAAGGACAAATTTCATACAAAAATTCATAAATTTATTAACTTATAAAATAATGAATTCAAAAAATTTCACAAAACTAATTACATCAGTTTTTTACAAGAATATTACCATTATTTGACAAAAGCTTAAAAAATAAGAATCAATTTATTACAAATTTTAAAATGTATAAACTAAACAAGACTAAAAAAAATACAAATAAAATCATAAAATAAAAATGTAAATCTAAAAATAATTGTATTGAACATATAAGTCTTCTTATGCTTTACATACAAGTTGTATGATACAACTCAAAATCTCAAATAACTAAAACTAATTTCTGCGCATTATAACTTCATGAAAATGTTGGTCCGACACGAGCTCTTGAACTGATGCTGCTGAAGCATCTCAAATACTTCTCCAACTTCGATGACGATTGACGAGCTCTTGAGGAACCTGGTGGCCATCCTTACCAAAATGCGCATAGCTGCATGAAACATCTTAATACTTAAAAAAAATAAACAATTAATAAAAAAAGGAAAACCAAGATGATAAACTGCTAAAAAAAGATGCATTTACATGGAGCTGAACCTGAAATTAACAAAAAGTAGATACCTTTCCATTAGAGCTGAAATTAATTATGGACATATAGAAATTAACCTGAAATTATACATTAGAGCTGAACCTGAAATTAACAAAAAATAGATAATGTTTATAAAGACAACTAAATATGTCAACCACTAATCATACAATAGGAGAAACACTGCAAGATACCATTTCAGATACCTGCCAACCACTAATGTTTATAAGGACAACTAAAGACAACTAAATATGCCAACCACTAATGTAATCAACGATTAAAAATGCCAAAGAATCTTTGATACCTTTCACTATAAATAAATGAGAAGAATTATTAGAAAATGTAAAGTTGCAGATATATGTATATGCTGCTATCCACATTCTAGAAAAATAAAAGAAATCTATATGCTGCTAGCCAAAAGAAATCGACCAAAAGAATAACCATCTAAGCCAAAAGAAATCGGCCAAAAGAAATCTACATTCTGGAAAAACAAGATTTACTCTTTTTACTCATGTAATCTTGGACTAGTACATGCTGCTATCCACATGAAGGAGCATAAACACATGCCTGAACAACCAGATTATTCCCATACATGCTGCTAAAGGGTTAAATCATTTATAATGAAGCCAATGCTAGCATAACATGCACCTTTTATAATGAACAACCAGATTGTTCATTATAAATCTCTCTCCTTCAAAACATAATAAAAATGAAACCAACTTAATTGTTCATAACATGCACCTTTTATAAAGGTGCAAAACATGAAAATGAGAATGTTCACATATTGCTCTCTCCTTCAACAGATCAAGATTGAAAGTTCTGGATACCAATTTTAACTGTGAGAATAAGCCTGTCATCACACAATCCAATACATTCAATCCTTCAAATCCAATACATTCTCTCCTTCAAAAAATCAAGATTGAAAGTTCTGGATAACATTTTTAATTCTTATCACATAATAAAAAGAAGGTTAATTTGCATTCTAAATATGCCAACAAGAAACCAACTTGAGATGCAAAATGGCGTATGAGAAAAACTTGTGTTCTACCAAGAGTAGAAATAGAATAACAACCCTCCAGCCTAATTTTATATTTACATCAACTGTTCTGCACAAACTTGAGATGCAAAATGACGCATCTTATAATATTTATAACTAAAAAACACATCTGCCTTAAATTTCACCATTTTTCATGATGACTTTATCAACGATTAATAATTTTAAAAAATCCTGATGATCAAACAACATATAAATATTCATCTGCATTTCTCTGCACTTTTAAAATCAAAATTAATGAGCGATGCAAGAGTAAATCCAGTCCAAAAAACCATGCAGCAGCATCTGCGACAGCAGTGTACATGAGAGGAGGTTAATTAAATGCATCATTTCCAAGAAATATGAAATCCATACTCTATAGCTCATAATAACAACATTAAGATCTAAAAATAACATGATTCCATCTGTAAAAGTCATGCAAAACCGCTACTAAACTGCAGACTACAAAAGAGACAAAGGTAGAGCCATTCATCAAGAAAAGAATACCCACAATCCCATCCATATAA